ACCGTAATAAACTGACTTTTACTCTAATTTGAATTTTAATTATTTTTGGCCTTTAAGATTTGTATTTGCGTAACCCTGATCTACATCAAACCAGCCATACAAAAGTGTTGAAAGATAGACAGCTGTACTGCAGTGCAGTGCATGCTGTAAGACCTGGAAGCAGTGGCCACTTTTTTTACTCTTTTATAAATAACTGTCAAAATTACAATTTAACGAACTGTAACGTTAGAGGGCAACAGCCATTGCAGCGTCTAGTCTACCGAATCCAAAATAAGAAGGAAGAAGTTTGGACCACCCTTCCCATGCTGTGTTCCTATGCCCTCCCCTCTATGGTCTAGGAGGACCTCCCTCTTGCGTTCCCTGCTGCCGCCATTTTACTGTGGTCTAAAGTGCGGCGTCGTTAGGCATCGAACCGGGACGGGTCTTCTTCCTACATTACACAACTTTTTTTTAAATATATTTTTAAACCTGAAACTGGTAATTGACACCACATAATTTCTTTCGATATTCATTAAACTTCAGTGTTGTAATATAAAAGTTAATACCACGGCACAAACAAGCCGACAACGACTAGCTAGCAAAGGCTAACACACCACTAACGATAAGGTCGCGAGATATTGTTGGTTTTGGTAGGCCTCTGTTATGTAGCATAAGCTAAAAATATAATTGAAATAAAAACACAATATAAGAGGTGCTAAGGCGGGTGTTAAACATAAGACATAAAATCCATTGTCATATGTACTCCACTATTTTATCTAACATTAGTCTTTGTTGCCCTTCATACAGTAACGTTATTGCTTTCCTTCTCTGCTGGGAATCGTTCGTAGTTCGCTCCAGCTAACTGAGCTGCTTTTAAAATTTATAAACAGTAAGTATCTGATTGTTGTCTTGACTGTTTTGTTTTTTTAAAGCTTTCACTTTAAATACTTTGAACTCTCTGTTCTTGGTCACGTTAGTGGTCTCAGATATCTTTACTTGTAACGTTAAACTCACGACCTTTTAATTTGGGGCTACAGGAGAAATCCCGTTATTTGGTTTAATAATATTTTGAGTCTGTAACTTTGTAAATCATTTTTTGTTTATCGCGTCATATCGCGTATAAGTACTATTTAGCTTCGCTACAGTTTTTTTTCTTCCTTAAGATGGAAGCCAGAGTTGTTGTTCAGGTTTATCAGTGTCGAACTGAGTACATGTCTGGTGAAAATAAACAATCCAGGCCTGGACTCTCGAAAAGGGCAGATTCAGTTGTTATTTATTCTGAATTCGATACTTGAAATATATAAACATGGGTTAATAATCTAGTCAAATAGAGTCTGACCTGGACTCTTGTTAAAACTAAACTCATCTGCAGTCATTATTGATTGTATTGTGTCTCACTCCTTGCAGAAATGTCCAACTGTCACCTTTGTATTTGTGAAGAACTATCTGTCTCTTAATAACACTTTGTTTCAGTTCCCTGGGGGAGTGTTTTTGATTCATTTTTTAGGTTTAAATCCACCCTCTTGGCTCTTTGCTGGAATCCCTGGATATGGATAGCATTCCCCCCATGAAAATTCGTTGGCAGAAGATTTTTTTTTTCTCTTCAGCTTTGGTTGAAAATCTCTAACGGCTTGAATATCCTGTCAATTTTTCTTCTGTTACCATCACCCAAATGTCAACAACTCCCAAGAAGAAGCTGAGGATTGTTTTTCCACCTGCCATCCACACCCTTTTTGCTAAGCATTTTTGGAGATCAATTTTTTTGTTTTCTGGCAGTTTATGCCCCCCTATTTCTTTATTTTATTAGTTGCACCAATTAATAAAAAATAATCAAAAAAAGTTCCCAAAGGACTCTATTGCATCCACCTTCAGTTATGCTTAGCAGTCTTGCGGGATAAAGATTTCTCAGAGTCTCAGAAAAGGGATGTCGTAAGAAGACAAGTGTCTCTGGACGAGCCACCCCTCTTTTCCTATTATCTCACGGATCAAGTGTTCCTTCAGGACTCCATACCACCAAGGAGACACCCCACCAGCAGTGAGGGATACAACTTCTCAGCCACCTCAGGTAATTATAGCAACATCACAATTGGCTTGTAAGTACAGATGGTATAGGAATATTAGAAACATGTGTTACTGGTGAGCTTAATTCAAATGTCTCACTCCACCTAAAGTCATCTGATAAATGTATTTTGATTTAAATTATTTTAGCATAATGTTTGCTTCACCACATATGCAGTCTAGTAGTTGTCAGAGAAGAAAGCATATTTCTTAATAGTTTACCAATTGTATGCTATGTGTTATTATAAATCATTATTTGTAATATAATTAAATGAAAGTACACGGCTCCTTTTTAAAAAGACATTGCTCAGGTAAGCAATGTCTTTTTAAAAGGAGCCTCCATTTTTCACATCATGTAATAACGCAGGACTTTGCATTGAAAACACTACAATAGGTCACACTTTCCTATCAGATAACCACAAGAAAACCCATTTGGTTGTGTTAAACCTGAAATGTTTGTGCGGTTAGGATATTTGAATAAGGTCCAATCAGGAACTGGTAGTTGGTATTTTTACTAGATTTATTTTATTTTGTAATATGAAGAAATCTGCCATGTATAGACTCGATATAAAACGGTTAGTAAATGGATGTAATGTAGTAGGATAGGATCTCTGTTTTTGATTGGTTTCTGTGCTTCTTCTTGTTGGCCCTGAAGAGAATCAGCTGCTGGGTTTATCACCTCCACCACCCGAGGCGTCCCCGCATTACTATGACCAACCATGGAGATGACTGCTACTTCTTTTACTATTCCACCTGCACTAAAGTGAGCAACGTTTGTGCACAAAGCTCACATTTTCACACATAGCCTGATAACCAGAAAAAAAAGAGTAGGGTCTTACTGTGTTTCATGTATCATCCAGGGAGACAGCTGCCCATTCAGACACTGTGAGGCAGCTATGGGCAGTGAGATTGTCTGCAACCTCTGGCAGGAGGGACGCTGTTTCCGTACCGTCTGCAAGTTTCGCCACATGGAGATCACAGTAAGAAACATTTAAAAACATTGTTTTATAATTCAGAAGGCTCAGTAATGTCTCCTTCAAGGTTTGCCCTCTCTAGGCTCATTGGCCTTTGACTGGCCTTCAAAAAAGGGTCAAATTATGGCGCTTTTCCACTGCAGGGCCTCGCTCGGCTTAGTACGGTACGGCTAGGCCTTGTTAGGCCTTGTAAGGCCAGGCTCACTTTATGCTGCGTTTCCATTACAGTTTAGGAACTGGGGTAGTAGTAACGCAGTGTAGGCGGAGCCGTGACGTCATCTTCAATGCGAAACACAAAACCAACAAGCCGTTAGCTCTTAGCACTCAGAGCTCACAGCTCCTAATATCTGTTCAGAAACTAGACAACAGTTAAACAAGTACAAACCACATACTGTCTGTGTCATGGCGAATACAGTCGCTGTTTTATTTATGTCTGTAGGCCGTTGTTGTGAGTGTGGACGGTCGGAGCAATACTGCGTTAGCTTAGCCGATCTGCATTCAGAAAACACGCATTTTAAAAGTTTTTTCGCCTGCCGTCTGTCTGCAGACTTGTCAAAGCGTTAATTCATGGTTTTTACTAACCGGTATCAGTATGTTGTTACTTCGGCATCATTTTGAAACGTGTATTACAATTAAATCACGGTCAAATATGTTCATTTTGTTGTAGTTGTAGCCCCCTAGCCAGCGATTCTCTCTGACCAATCACCAGTCGAGAGTGTTTACGTCACTAGTTTAGCATACTCAGCCCGGTTGTTGGCCCGGTAAGAACCTCGATTTTGGAGAGCCAGAAAAAAGGTGAAAAAGTAGCCCTGAGCCGGAACTAGCCCTGGTGGAAAAGCAAACAAAAGAACCGTGCTACGTGCTGCAGTGGAAAAGCGCCATTAGTTAACATGAAGCTGTCTGTGGCTCTTTTCTGCTGTAACAATGTACAACAATACCGCCTAACTGTTGCACTAAAGGGTTGATTGGTCTCCAACA